TGGTATTATAAGTTGAACTAAATTCAGAAATTTTAAAATTTTAAATAGTTATTGCCTACTCCTTTCTACTTTGAGAATTCTAATTTTATGAATATAAATGTCTTGGTTTTGACACAGTGAACTATTATGACTGATCTGTAAATTCTTTCTTCATTTTTATTTTGGACAGTTTTATTGTTATATTCAGTTATGTTTGTAAATAATTCATTTTCAGTTTGCAATCTATTAAAATTTTTAAAAAATATATAAGAAAAATAAAATAAAGTTAAAGCAAAAAAAAAAAAAAAAAAAAAAGAAGAAGAAGGAGGGGCCAGTGGGGCCAGAAGGGCCTAAGGAACCTGCTCAGACTTGCCTGGCTCCACGGCCACAGTCACGTCCAGGGCTCTGGCGAGGAAGAGAGAAAACCTCCAGGCTGTGGCCGGGACTTGTGTCTGCCCTTCTGTCAGCATCAGAGCAGAGGGTGCCAGGGTGAAGAACTCAGGCTCCAAGGTAAAGCAAGGAAGAAGCCTGAAGGCATTCATGTGGCCAGGCAGGGCTTGACGCCAGGCATACACTGTCTTGGCCCTCTGATGTCATGTCCCTGTCCCAGCACCGGGGCCAGCCAGGGTTCCTGGACTTGAGGTACCGTGGTCCACCCTACATCCACTGGGCCTTGCTTCCTCCTCTGAGAACCCACTTGGCTGGGATGTGAGGAGGACAGGCTGCCAAGCATGAGAAGCCCTGTGCAGAGAGACACACGTGCTGTCCCCAGACATAGGACAGGCAGGCAGGGCCAGGCGCTCAGGCAGCAGCTGGCCTTGCTGAAATCTTCTGCCGGGTTTTCGGTTGCTGCTTGTTAACACAGAGTGACACATTAAGTTGACACAAGTCACACAGTGACCAAGAGTGCTTAAATGAAACGTGGCTCTGGTCCCTCAGCTGGTGGGATTAACTGAGGAGTTAATAAATCAGTCCAAGGTAGCTGGGTTAATTTCTATTTTAGATTCTCTGAATTTATTACCTGAACTTAAATCTGTATTTAAAAAATGTGTTTGCTCCTTTAATCTTCAGTCTCCTTTCCCTTGAGCATTGTGTTTTTCATTTCATTTTTCATTTTTACTTCAGGTTGGCCCTTCGAATAAAAACAGCATTGTCTTGAATATTTAATAACTAGGCACAAGGTCCTGTAGGAAGCCTGGAACAGGCACACAGCCTGATTTACTTCAGAGTTGTACAGCTGTCTTACTGATGACCTTGGGCAAATCTCCTGATTCTTCTGTGCTCAGTTACCATCTGTAAAATTGGTCCCTAAAGACCCTGTGATTGTGACGCTTCCTGACTTACTTGTGAATGCCGGCAGTCCTGCGAGGAAGATAGACTTGGAATCAGTAGTTGTATGGGCACTGTGCTGGGGAAGGTGGCCTTGAGTGGGGGCACAGGGAAGGGCTTTGGGGAGAGGGTGCTCAGGCTGACACCTGAAATAGGAGACCTTGTCATGGGAGCAGTAGGGGAGGAGCAAGCGGGAGAGGGGGACTAGGCCTTTAGGGGGATGGGTGACAAGAGGCCAGGCCTCTGAGGTGGGTGGGTGGGGGCAGTGGAAGGCCCCCAGGGTTATGCCCAGTGCTCAGACTCCATCCTGTGGCAGTGAAAGATCCTGAAGGATTTTCTAGTCAAGACAATAAGTGGCTAGACCTGAAGGCAACTGAGAGGAGGACGCGGCCTGCACTGTGGTGGCCTGCAGCAGTGTTCAGAATTGAGGACTCTTGTTTTCCTGAGTCAGAAACCAAACTTCTCACAGGGTGCTGTGGGCTTTCTGAGTGCCACCTTCCTCTCTTAGACCTACCAACAGATGTGATGACCAGCCTGCCAGGGGCCAGTGTCTCCTTGCCCTGCCCTGCGAAGGACCTGAGAGACAATGCCACCGTCCACTGGGTGGTCACCAGTGCACACCAAAGATGGGCCAGTGTGGGACGGAGGCTGCTGCTGAGCTCAGTGCAGTTCAATGATTCTGGCAACTACTCGTGCTATGTGAACGGGCACCTGGCTGGGACGGTGCGTCTGCTGGTGGAAGGTTAGTTGTGGCCCCTGCCTGGAAGAGACGGGTCCCCAGTGTCCCAGGAAGATTAGCTCCTTTTCTTGACCCAGAAATCTGAGGAAGAGGTTTCTGATGGTCCCAGTGAGATCTGGAGGGGCTTTCTGATGGGTGGGGAGTGTTATCTGTATGGCTTTGTGGGGTGCTGGTCACTAGTGTGGGGCCTGAGGTCAAGCAGCCTAGGTCTGAATCCTGCTTCACATTAGCTAAAATTCTCTGCTCCTCAGCTTCTTCCGGCAAAATAAAGTTGATTTTCTTACCTTACAGTGTGGTAAAATTGTGTGTGTGTGTGTGTGTGTGTGTGTGTGTGAGAGAGAGAGAGAGAGAGAGAGAGAGAGAGAGAGAGAGAGAGAGAGAGATTGAGAGAAACTGTCCTCAAAGCTTTTGATTGAACCACACCCCTACCCTGTTTTAGCTTTTATTTTGAGACAGTCTCACTAAGTTGCCCATGCTGGGCTTGAATTTGTGATTCTCCTCCTCCAGCCTCTCATAGTGCTGGGATTGCAGGTGTGTACCACCACACCCTGCTGGATATTATTATTATATTATCACCAGTTACTTTTATACCCATGGAAGCTGAAGGGAGGCTGGGACCTGCCCTGAGCTGCACAAATACTTGTTCTCTGAGATGCCCTCTTGCCTCTGTAGACAGATCTGAAGGTGTGAGCCCCCCCCATCCCTTGCCCCCAGCCTGACCCCAGGATGCTCCCTTTTCCTCAGGCTTAGGAGCTCTGTGTGTGGCTGGGTTTGGCCCACAGGCAGGACCGCTAGGGCAAGCTTTCCCCTCAGGGAGGCCTGCGGCCTGGGGCCCTCAGCCTGCTGTGCTGTACTTTCAGCTCCCCCGGAGGCGCCGAAGCTCTTCTGCTGGCGGAAGAATCCTTTGGACAGTGTTGTCTGTGAGTGGAGCCCTCAGAGCCCCCCATCCCTGATGACCCAGGCGGTGCTGTGTGTGAAGAAGGTGTAAGTAGTGGGCAGGGCACTTGTTTCCCTCTCTGTCCGCATGGAGTTCCCCAGTGCCATGGTGCGGTTCCCAGGGGTAACCTGGTGGGTTGGCCAGGCTGGGGATCCTGAGATTTCCCAGGAGGAAGTCGGAAGAGAAGGAGAGGGCTCTACTCCCTGTGTTTATCACTGTGCTAGGGGAGGTGGGTGGTGTTTTTCACACTGGATAGATAAACAGGTGCACAAACAGGTTCCACAAATGGATTAATTTGTTTAAGGTCATGTAGCTAGAAAATGGCTCTGCTGGGAATCTACCTCCTGGTTCCCTGTCCAGTCCAAAGGTTTTGAGTGTTGCTCAGAGGCAATTGCCTGGGATTGGGGAATGCCTTGACCCTGGGCACCTATTGTGCTTCTCTATTATAAAGGCAGGTGACAGGAATCAGTAAGAGCACTCCTGTAATCG